GAAACGTCTGAAGTAGCAAAAATAATGAGAAAAGCTAATTTTATTGAAAAATCGAATGTTTTTCTTTCACATAAAAAATGAGTTTTCTTTAACATTTTTTCCGATTTTTCAAGTAGTTTTTTGAATTTTTTATCTCAAAAAGATGGCTGAAAACTTTTTAAATATCTACAGCTTTGTAGAGCTCGTCGAGCTCTATCGAACCATTAAAAATTTCCAAGAAAAAAGTTTTACTCCATTTTTGAATTACTGACAACTTAATTTTCTACGCCAAAAAAGCATAAAATTTCTGAAAATTTCTTAAGTTCAACATTAAAAGGCCTTCATAACCTTTACTTTTTAGTACCAATAAATCCAGTTTTTGACGCGCGTTAATTTGGTATAAAATACATTTGTGATATCATTGATACTTTAAGTTATAGAGGGGGGGGGGGGGGGCGCCAAGGTTATTTTACACCATGTACTTACTCAGTCGCCGCTAAAATTTTGATTTTCGTTTTAGATATCTCAAATGAAAGGTCTAGTCGAATCATAGCTGTATCCAAAATAGTAGCTCTTTCTGATTTGCCTGTGAAAGATGCCAAGGTACACAAGCGATCCACTCTTTGGCACTTGATCTAAAAACCAGTTTTTTTTAGAACTCTCTCAGTATTTTGTATTTATTGCTGTGTTCACACATTCATTCGAGTTCGAAGACATCTCAAAACATACAGAAGTGTTTTCTCTACAAAATTGAATAACTCAATAACTTCTGCAATACTATTCACAAATTAATAATGGCAATACATGAGTAACAATGAAGATTTCTTAGTAGTTCGCCTCTGGCCACGCTAGGGCATGCTATACAACAATAAATTTTATTTTTTTTTGCAACTGTTTGAAATCGTGTGTAGTTTATGCTATTATTTCAATAGACAAAAAAAAACAGCGAAAATAGTTAGTAGATACTGTAAATGTTGATAGATGATATTCATCCTGATCCATAATCAGGATATTACATATTTTATATTTATCTAAATAAAAAATGTGACTTCATTAAAACGCTTATTATTTCTGAATGAAATAAGCTAGACAATTTTCTCTTTCATAGATCGAAAGAGAAGTATTTTCGCTGTTCATCACGACTAAACTAGAGCTTATCATTGGTTCAGTCATTTTATAGAAAATTGACAAGCATGACTATTTATTGCCGGCTAAGAAAAGTATCCTTTTATTTATGCGTTGAATTGAAAAAAAAACAACAACAATAAGTTTAAAAATTTATTTATCTTAGAGAAATTCAAGTAAGAAAAAAAAAAGGAACATCATTTTAATCTTTCAAATGATGAAAGACAAGAATCCTATCAGTATAGATTACTATATACAATAGAAAAAAGAAAAACATGAAGATTTGTATATTCTTATTCACTATGTTCTTTTTGTTGTTGTTGTTGTGATCTTGTTCTAAATATTCGTTGTGCAAGAGCATGTCGAGCAGCCATAACACGAAATCGAAGATCTTGTAAACGTTGTCGAAATGAAATTTTTGGACGTTTTTCAGAAAATACAAATTCTTTGGTTGTTAAATTATGTAAACCACCAAAGGCAAGTGCAACTGCTGTACAACCCAAACAAATTACATTAAATGGCATACTGAAATCAGGTGTTGGAAGATTAACAAGTAATGTTTCTGAATAAAGTCGAACAAAACCATCAGACGACGATGAAAGACTACATGACAAAAAAAAAAATAATCATAAAATTTTTCTCGACTTTCACGAAAGATTCTTCTTTCGATTTGCTGCCTACGGATACAATCTTACTGTTCTAATAAAAGGAAACGCAACTAAACTAGTTTATATAAAAAAACAAAATACTTATTATGTACACTATAAATGGAAAAGAAAAAGTTTCATATCTTAATGAGACTGTGTTCATAACGGCAACGAAGATTCATTGAAATCGAAAGACAACAATTGAAAATATTCTCTCTTAAGTAAACAAAAATGATTAATATTACCTTTGATTTAAAGAAAATGAATTAAGTGATTGTAGAATATAATTTGAAGGAATAATTGTTGATATAACAGCACTTGGAATGTAAAATCCATGATTTGGATCAGGTGGAAATTCGTTCCATTTTAAAAAAGCCATTTCAAATTCAAAATTAATTAATATTGATTGTTTAGTTTTTATTACTAATTCTAATTGATAAGGTCGTTTACGATCTTTACCCGGTACATATGAAATATAATCTAGATAATACATATATATTAAATTATACAAATGTTAAAAATAAGAATTTTAGATGAAAATTATTTACCTGGTTTTATTTCAGTTCTATTATTATCAAGTGTTGTTATTTTAAGAGTATGAAGAAAAATACGAAAATACCAAGGAATTTGTTCGAAATAAACTAATGTTATTTCATCTTGTTTTTCTTTTTCATTTAATTTTATAATAGTTTTAATTCCACCATCACGAACACTATAACCTTAACAAATAAAAAACACAAAAGAATGTATATTCATTAAATTCTTGATTTTTACCTGTAGCATATCGATGAACAACAATAGGTGGTAAAAATTTATCATTTTGATTATCAATTTTTATTGTCTGTTGTTTATTATAATTACAATTCAACGAAAATGTTGTACTTTTACGTTTTTCATTATGTAAATCATAGACAATAATTGGTATTTTTCCTTGTTCAAATGAATAATCTGGTTCAGGACTTAAGTTAAACGAATGTGTCTAAAAAAAAAGACAAGAAATTCGATCAATCTATTGAAAAAAAAAATTAATATAAAAAACATACTTGAGATAATTGCAAATCAACATAAATATTTGTAAGTGAACTAAGTGGACATATTTGAGCTACATTTGAACCAAATATTGAACGAAATGTCCATTCTAAACAAAAACAAAAAAATAAAATAAAATAAACTCAAATCTTAATAAATTAACCATTATGACCAAGTTTTGATGTAGTTCCATCAACAACAATAGCTAATGCCATAGATAATTCAAGTTGAGTCGATGTACATTCAACATTCTTCATCAAGAAAAACAAAATAAATTTCATGTCTATAGAAATTTAAGAAAAACCTTACAGCACATATTTGTCTTAAATCCATTCGAAGTGAATGATAATTACTATGATGAAGTTTTGGTGCATTATCAAGTAATCCAGCAAGACCTTTATGATTTGAACCACCAGCTACACAAGGTAATAATTTTTTCCATGGTGTTAAATTTTCTATTATTCAATAAGACAAATATTTAATTATTTGTCTGATTAAAAATTATAAAAAAAAAAAAAAAACAAACCTGTACAAACAATTTCTCGTGGTAAAACACCATATCGAACAAAAGAATTATCTTGATTTGTAGTTTTTGAAATAGGTAATGTTGATTGAGGTCGAAAAGAATAATAAGGTGAACTTGTACTAACATTTGAATCAACAAAATTAAGAGAAGCACATAGAATTCCACCTAATTCATGTACAAATGATGTCCAACGAGATGTTACACTAATATTTATTTATATTATTCGTAATAATAAATGAAAAAATTTATTTATTTTATTTAAATACTTACTCTTGTTGTTCATTTGGTTTAAACCATGACCAAACTTCTGCACCTGGTGGTGAACCAACAATAGGCATACCCCAATGATCATATCTCCATAAACCTTGTGTTAATGAAACATGAAATTCATTAACACCATTTGAACGAACTATATCGGCAATAGCTTTCGGAAATAAATGATAATGATGAACTATTTAAATAACAAAAATAAAAAAAAAATTTGATTAAATAAAATAAAAAAAGAACTTTACTTATATCTGTTTTGAGAATATCAGGTGAAACAAGAGTAGTAAATAATAGATTAAAATATGTATGACCAGTTGATAATGGACGAATATAAAGTTCTTCTTTATATATATCATCCGTTGATGAACAATAATAAATAAATAAAACTATTAAGAAAATATAACAATTCAACTTAGTTGATGAATACATTTCTGAAATGAAAAAAAAATCTTTAGAAAACAATGTCAGCAAGATGAATTACCATGATCTTTATTCATTTTTCTTTTTTTGTTTGTTGATGGAAAGAAGAAAACTCACAACAATTTAAGTAACTAAGGATATGTTTGAGCGCATAAAAAAAGAAAAAAAAAGAAAGAGTGGGGACAAATGAAAGAAGAAAAAAAAATCAGTTAATTCTACATCATGAATAAATTGAAATGTTGTGACTTCTCTTTTATTTCTTCCATGTACCTAAAATAAATAAACAAAATTAAATATTAATAAAAAACAAAAACAAAATAACTAACCAGTTTCATAGTCCCATTTCGATGAAAGACCTCTCATAGGACCTTGACGAGCAGCAATATGATACTGTAATTGTCTCTTTAATTTTTCGTCACTAAAACTATCCGGTTTTTCAAAATTATAAGCTAAAATGATAAAAAAAAATTATTGAAAAAAAGAAATTCAATGATTAAATATAAAAATTCATACCAACACGTCGCCATGCATCATAAGCCATTATTAAACCTGCTATTGTAATGAGAGTACAACCCATAGTCCATTTCCAAACACCAGTTGGGGCTGTAAATTCTTCAAATGTTTGACGGAAACTTGCTCGATATACTTAACACAAAAAAAATCAAATGAATTTCTATTTCATTCATTTAAATATGATCTGATAGAAATATAGGAATATTCTATTTGTAATCATGAATTCGCGTTTTTTTTTTGTCTACAGAAAGTGTTAAAATTTAGCACAATTTTTAATAGATACTTCAAATATATCTTATACTATGTATTTTAAAGTATATCTATCAACTTATCTAGGTTTTTTTTTGTAATAAGAGATAGATGCAAATGTCTTATATGATTCAAAATGCTAGACAAAAATACTTGTTTAGTTTTTTTTTTCAAATTTTCTTTTATTGTTAAGAAAATTAGAGTTTTTTCTTATTCATTAACAGAATCAGATCAAAAAAGAAAAAGTAAAAAATGTATTCGTATTTGACAATTTTTATCATCATAGCTCAGTTGCAAATACAAAATAGATATGATAGTTCGAATCATCTATATTCTAGTAAAAATTATTTTCAATAATAAATACAACTATAATCTTGTTCAATTCTATGTTCGTAAGAAAAAAAAAATTTTTTTCTAATTTTCGACACTGATTCCGAATATGCTATCGAATTTGTTTTACAACTGAATTAATATTCTCAATAATAAAATAAAATTACTACATTATTATTCATATAAAGTTTTTAAGACTTTTTTTTTGTTTATAGCTAAATCGTGATTAAATCAAGATAAAAATAATATATTCGTGATGAATTTATCATGTTATATCAGACTATAGATACACAAACGAGAAGAAAAATCCAATTGATTTATGTATTTCCATAATCTTATAAGAATTAAACTTACATTTTTTCTTTTCATCAACTGATAATTGTTTCCAATCGCCTTTTTCTTTTTTTCTTAATTCAGCAATAGCTGGTGTATCAGCTTCCCAACGAATACTTGGACAAGGAAACATAACCAAATCAAAATATTCTGGTTTTCCTTTTAAACCATAACCAACTATTTCACGATTACCAATACGTGGATGCATACGCATACGATCAGCATCTAATGGTGGTGGTGGTTTTGTATTATCTAATACTATAGGATTTTGTTGAATAACAGAAGCACTTGATGATGTTGAAGCTTCTACTCGACATTGATGTTGAAGCATTAATGATAATTGAGGTTGAGTTAATTTTACATGTCGAAGAAGAAAACTACTCATCCTGATTTGTTCAATTGAATGTTTCTTATTGATATACTTATATATCTAAAATAATAAAATAATTTTATTAAAATTTGAAGGTAGTTTAATGGAAAACAAAGAAAAAAAAATAAACAATAATATCAACAACACATCACTATAACTATATCATTGTCAATTTTTATTGGTCGATTCATATTGACTAATCAAATAGAATAGAGTGGCCTTCGTAAAAAGAAAATTGTCTCAAATAAGTCATTTTATATTTCAAATAAAAAATCTAATAGAATTTTTCTTTTTTTGTTTTGTTTTATGTAAATCTTTGAAAACAATCAAATCATTTTTTCTTCTTTTTCATATGTTCAAAATAATTAAATAACAATTTAAACGAAGAGTCATACTTTCATGTTGTACTCTTCTCTTACTCATTCATCCGAAGAAAACAAATAATATTTATATGTATAAAATGGAGAAAAAAAAGAAAAAAACAAATAAAGTTATTTATAAAGTTCATGTGTTTTTTCTTTTTAGATAGATAATCATGAAAAACTATATTCTCATTTATTTCTCATTATTCTATTTAATAAAATATTCATCGACAACTCTTGTTGATTCAATAGTAACATTATCATGGTCATCAAATGAATCACCAACAATAGTCGATCGTTTTTTAACTTATAATACACAACTTCAATTAAAACTTTCTTGTCGTGAACCATCAATAAATATAAATAAAACTCAAGGTCATCAAATAGAAAAAAATTCAAATAAAGAATATGAAAAAACAAAAGTTGAAATAACTGGTCGAATTGGTCGTATTGTTGGATGTTTACCATTACAAGCGGATACATTTATGATAACAAATCAATTAACATCAAAAGATAATAAAGATACACAAAGTTTATCACAAACATTTTATGAACAATTATGGAAACAAATGGAAATAAGACAATTTAAAATGAAACCCGGTAATTGTGAATATTTAATAGAATTAGATATTGATGAATATAAAAATATAACTGGACCTGAAATTACACCAGAACAAGCTGCAGAATCAAGAAAACAATTATTAAAACAAGGACGTGAACAAATTAATGCTAATCAACGTAATATTTAAATATTTATTTTCTAAAGAAATTACTTTTTTTTTTAATTTATTATTTTAGAAAATAATTTTCCTCCTCGCCGTCGTCGTCGTGCTGCTAATGATGAAACAACAGCAAAATCACCATTAGCATTGGCTATGAGTAAACAATTAGAAAAAAAATTTCAAACATGGGCCGATGGTTATTATGTTATTGAAATAAATCGACCAAATTTTATTGAATTAAATGATCGAGAACCTAATATTGATATTATTTTAACAATGAAAAATCGACATGGTGGTTATATAACAGCTGATGAATATCCAGCATTAGTTTTTTATGGTGTTATGTGTGGTATTTATGCATTATTTGCTTTATTATGGTTTATTTGGTGTTCATGTTATTGGCGTGAATTACTTAAAATACAATTTTGGATTGGTGGTGTTATTCTTATTGGTATGATTGAAAAATCAGCATTTTTAGCTGAATATGATATTGTTAATCGACATGGGTAAATAATTATTAATTTTTAAATATTTAAATTGTTTTTTTTTTTTTTTTTTGAATTTTTTTTTTAGATATAAAGTTCATTTTGCTATTGTTACAGCTGAAGTACTTTCATGTTTAAAACGTACTGTATCACGTATGCTTGTTATTATTGTTGCACTTGGTTATGGTATTGTTAAACCACGTTTAGGACCATTAAAACAAAAAGTACTTGCTATGGGTATACTTTATTTTGGAGTTGCTACAACAGAATCAATGCTTCGTTTAAATACAAAAAATGATGAAACAAATAATAAAGTATTAATATCACGTATACCATTAGCTGTTGTTGATGCTCTTATTTATTATTGGATATTTACCGGTTTAGTTGCAACAACACGAACATTACGTTTAAGAAAAAATATTGTTAAATTAAATGTTTATAGACATTTTACAAATACATTAATATTTGCTATTGTAGCAAGTTTATTATTTATGATTTGGTCATTAAAATCACATATTTTTACAACATGTGTTACTGATTGGAAAGAATTTTGGGTAAATATTTTTTTTTTCTTTTGTAATTTTGTTTAATTAAAAAAAAATTTATTTAGGTTGATGATGCTTTTTGGCATATACTTTTTTCATTAATTCTTCTTGTTATTATGTTTTTATTTCGACCATCAAATAATAATCAACGTTATGCTTTTGTTCCTTTGCTGGATCAATCAGATAATGACAATGATGAATTTGATGATGATGATGATGAAAAAGGTGGTAAGTTAAATCAAATCAATGATACAAGTTCTTTTTTTTTTGTTATATATGATTCGATAGAATGTGTGACGAGCTCATTAAGACTATCTGTATTTAGAAATTTTTTAGGAGAATTTTTTCAATCTTTTGTTAAATTTCAAAAATATTTGTCTCAGAATTAATGTGGAAAAGTCATTCATGAGACTATTCACATGTAACATGATCATAATTCAGATAGTACAAAGTAAATAGATACAACGGCCTAAGAAGGATTTGGTAATGCTATTTAATTTTTTTTTCTACTAACAAGATATAGTTGACTATCATATTTCATTAGAATTACTGTGATTGATTGCAAAGGTCTAGCTTGAATTTTTTGAGATTTTATTTCATTATTGAGAAATAAAATCATTTTTTTTTTAAATCGTTGTCAGAATCGATATTTTCTTAACCTATATTTAACTACTTTCCGTGAATTAACCATTCTCTTACTCAAAACAATCATATATATTCAAAATTAGTAGAAAAAAGACAGAGGCAACATTTACGTGTTTCAAAATATTCTGAAAAAGTTTATTTTCTCGATTACCTTCAGGATGACAGCCGAAAAATCAATTCGTTTCACAATGCCGTACATTGAGTCAATTGAACTTTTCGATTTGAATCCTAAGAAGGATCAAGGTGATATTTTTTGGCGATGAATAAAAGTTCTTAGAAAATGTTGACATACCTATATGTCAACTTAATTTTGTGTGCTGATTCTGATTGTTTTAAGTAAAAGAGTAGTTAATTTAGGGAGAGCAGCTTAATATAGATATGTCATTGGTTGATGTTTCAAAAAAAACTTCAAACCGTTGGAATATATACTGTTTTGTATGTGATAAAGAAGCAACATCGGTAGTGAATGAAAGATTGATGATTGAGAAGAATCCGTAGGAATAGAATTAGATATAGAAAAACGTGAACGAAGTAAAGTTATCTTCTGCAATATAAACAAAGTCTTCTAAGATGATGACGATTTAATTTTTTTTGTTTATTCTGCTTTATATATTTGTTATTCATGATAAAAATGATCTATCTGAAATAAAAGAAAATTTTTTACTAAAAAATTTAAAATATATATACCAGAGATGGACAAAGTCGCACCGCGCCTCCCCGCGCCGTTGCTCACACCTACGCTACACTAGTCTGAGCTTTGATGAGCGCATGCTTAGAGCATCCCGGTATTCGGTGAAGTTTGAGAAACTGATTGGTAGAGCAAAGAGAAAGAGAGATGTGCGTAGCGCCTAGGCGCGAGCAGCGGCGCGGGGAGGCGCGGTGCGATTTTGTCCATCTCTGATATATACTACTGATTAGCTCATCGCACTCAATCTAACTATAGGGAAACAAAAAAAATTTCTGCTTTAATTTTGTATTGTTGACATTTCGTATCTAAATCGAAAAACATTGATTGTAGGACTAAATAGTCTATTGTTTTTTCTAGAATCAGCTGTATTCGATTCTGTAACAATGCGTAAAGCAACAAGTATTGAAAATGGTTCAGCATCAAAAAGTAAAAAGCAACAACAAGCATTTTTGAATCGTGAAGCAAATGTATCAGGTAGTGGAGTTGGAGGTTCAAATGGTAATGATCTTGTTGAAGATGCTTTAACATGGGTTGAAGATAATATTCCAACATCAATTGCTGATCAAGCATTACAAGCATTGGATAGTGAAGATGAAGTTGTTAATACGAAATTAGAACGATCGAAAATGCAGTAAAATTTTCAAATTATATTAAACATGCGTTCCAAAACAATAAAGACAATATAATATATAATTATTTATTTTATTTTTTTTTTCTTGTTGCTTGTCCCATAATGAAATTTCTCTTTTCTTATCTGTGTCTATCTGCTAAGCTGACCCATACATGACTATCTTATTATTGGTGTGCGTGTGTATAAATGTCTTACTAACATACACTTCTATTCTTTGTGTTTGTTTATTGTTTATTTTCTATATATACAGAAATTTTCATAACACAGTTTCTTTCCTTTTTCTTTTTTTTGTTTTTCATTTACGAAAAAATACGTCGTAATATATGCTTTGATTCCATTTTGTTTGCTAAACCGATTTAAATCATTTGTCATTTGGTTTGAATTACAATTGTTAAACATTGAACGCTATACCAATTTAATATATATTTATCTTTTGTTAATACTAACATATTATTGTCTCTCAAATATGATCATATATTATATTATATTATTTTTCTGTCTGTCAAATAATTTAAAACAGTATTTTAAAAAAGAAAGACAGATTATTGTGTTATCTATCCATCTAAAGTTTATTTCTTTATGATTTAAATATTCTACTTTGTGGTCTAAGAACAATGCTTATATCTATAGTTTAGAGTGTTTTGAACTCTTCTTTTGTTACTTTTACATTTTGAATATTAGTTCAAGAATATCACAACATCAAAATTGAAAAGTATGATTGATTATAATTAATTTGAAACACAAGTAGTCAATAATAATTTTCGGTTATAATTTCGTTTTTCGAACTCATATTTTACCAAAAATATATAATCGATATATTGTTAAAAACTCATAACTGTCTAGCTTTTCTTGCAATTTTTTTCTTCCGTGATTTATTAACAGAATATTTAGCGATCGGTATTCAGGCTTATGTTTCCTTATGATTGTTCGTGACTATAATGTTTTTTTTACAGTTGCGTGATCCAAATAATATTAAAACATTTTGCATATCTGTAATAATCAATCTCGCTAGAAATTTTCAGTTATTTTCCTTGTTAATTTTATGATATATATATATATATATTAGATTACATGATAAACTGTTTATTCAGTCGTCACACGAGAATCCTAGCATGATCAGAGTGATTTGTGGACATGCCTCATATAGACATAATAACATTTTTAATATCGTATGAATTATGTGTCATTGATAATAAATCATTTTCAGATATATGGTAGTTGTAAACTCACTAAGCTTCCGATTTTCATGATGCTTGTTATATTTCTACATTGAAAGTGATAACATACAAAGTAACTCATATGAGTTATTCATCTGATAGTAATGTGTTAATTGATGAATGTCTAATATTAATATAGTCTCTAGAAGTTTTGGTTAGTTTTATTATTATTATTTTGTAAGCATCATCAAATGTTCATTTAGTCATTTTTAATGTTTCTTATCCTACTTTATCAAGGAAGTTTTTATTTTTACGAAAATAGCATATAAAAATGAAATAAAATAAATCTACAAGATCAATTGTTAGTAATACTTGCTCGATATAAAGTATACCTGTGTGAAAGAGACTGGTTGTGGATTTTAGAAGTTATCTTCTGACTTCACACAAAAGGATTAAATGTGAAGTGTTATGTTCGAAACCTTAGTTTTTCAATTAGCGGATAACGCTCAGCATAAAACTCAGTTTACGGAGCATTAGTGCTAATTTGATGAGACGATTGAGTCCAAAAACCTTGAATGCAGTTGTCAAGAAAAGGGTTGGATATGAATGTTTTTTTCAGAGTGAAGCAACAAGTCACATTTTTTCAGTCTTTACTATAGAAATTTTTTCAAAACATATGTAGCATAAAACTCTTGAAATAGAAAAGCAGAACCACATTAGAAGCGTTCATCTTTGCTTAACAATCATGCACACTCAGTTTATTGTCTAATCCATACAATTTTCAATATATAGATTAATTCAATCTGTGGTAATGAACAATTTGCATCAAAGATTCTTTTTTTCATCATTTGCCAATGTAATAAAATAGCCAGTTTTTCACTTTTCAATACCTGAACGAATATTTTGTTGAGTTATTTCGTCTATTCGCCTTGTATGTAATGATTCATATCAGTCTACTATGTCATAACCATAAACTTTCAATTACTGTTTTCTTGTCTGATTTCATATCGACTTTCTATTTAATTTATGAGATATAATGGTCGTGATTAATTAATGTCGTACTTTGCGGTTAATATTCAAACACAAGTACACTAAAGGTATTATCTTATCTTGATGTCCTCATTTTCTTCAGCATAGTATCATTCCTTTCAATTGGTCATTGAAATCGCATTTGACTTTATGCTCTTTATCGTTCTCTCTTCCTCTTTTCCCTCAAGTATAAAATCGTGTTTTATATAAGACTTTGACAACTCATTGTGCAAACAAGTCAAACGAAACAATCGTCACTATTTCATATACATTGAAATTCATCGAGATCTTTATAGTAAGGTAATAAACGCATGTTGTTTTCTTATAATTGATCTAGTGTACTTGCTGAGTCATTCAAAGTTTATTCATCACTTGTGAACATCGAAGCTCATATCGTCACAATATTCTTTTGATAAAGAAGTAGAAATGCTTGATTTGTTATATAGAAGTAGGTGATTTCTATCAAAAATAAAATCTTCTGATTGTCTCGTACTATATCTCGTAATGTAGAAACAAAGGACGTGCTAACTCGTACAAATTTATTCAATCTAACAAATCGACGAATTATAATCCATGAAATATATAATAATAGATGCAAACCATATTTCTTTAAAAAGCGACTTGGGTCAGGCGGTTTCGGTCTGTATATATACATCTTAAAATGGAATGAAATTATTAATAAAATATTCGATATCCATTCTGAATACAGGCACTGTTTATGAAGCAATTAATCCTGGCGGTAATACTGTTGCTGTGAAAGTAACTGATTTATGTGATACTCATGCAGATTCGTCAAAAAGTAAAAGTCGTTGTTTGCAGTCTTGTATCAATGAAGTTGAGAAGTTATACCAACTGACTGTCCTAAAACACGAAAAGCATATTATCAAAGTGTATGAATTGGGTATTGATATTAATAGAGTAAAACGACCTTGTGGTAAGCGTAGCTACTCTCTGAGAATTTCTATTTCTAAAAGAGACATAAGCACTCTATTTGTTGCCTAGAACTATGCCCATATAGACTAGTTGTGAGAAAAGTTTACATATTTATAGGCATCTGGTGTAAATCTTTGTATAAATTGTCAGTGGCTTTTTACGCTTTCACGTGCTTTTCTTGACTACAGTTCATCTCTGTCAATAAGAAGGCCACGATTTGATTGTTACAAGGGTCTTAGATTGTATTTACTGATATTAAAGCTACTTCTACTCTACACATTTCAGCTTACATTATCATGGAAAAGGGTGAAGAAAGTCTGGAAGATATAGTACAAAAGTTGCATAAACAATATAAAAGGATATGTGGTGTTAACTATCCACATGGATATATACCTCCATATTGTCGACGGCCTATATGGAAACAATTGGTAGGAATTATTGCAGCACTACAACGTAGCAATATAGCACATATGGATTTAAAACCGCAAAATATTTTACGTGTAGGCAATGTTCTGAAAGTTTGCGATCTTGGTATATCAAAGTATGGAGCTGGGTAAGAGAGAAAAGCTAATCTAACGATGGCCTTTAATTTGTCAATTTTTTTTTCTGAACTTTTTAGATTTGGAAGTGATGAAATGTCAAATTTTAGGTAATATCATGGAGTTAGTATGCTTCTATTTTACATGCTTGATCAGAGAAGAAACTCTTTTTCTTTCTTTATGAATTTTAATTCAATGCAATTGAAAACTCTGTTAGTGTGTAAAAAAAACTACAGTTTTAGATGTATAAAATGGAATCAGTTGAGGAAAATCAAAGATAATAAAAAATAAGATAAAAATTTAGAAATTCTTGCAACTTGTATTTTGCTTCTGATGACACTCGATAGATTTCAAAGCATAGACGGATTCAGAAATAAGACATGCTTAGTTGTTTTTCGAAAAGACTTTGTCAATACTCGAACATTTTTCATCTGAATTTTACGAAAACAAAAATATGGAAAAGCCTTTAGTGCATTTTTTCAGCACAAGTTTTCCTCGCACCAATTCTAACCTTTGCCATAATTGCATTTGTTTCATTCACTTCTAGTGCACCAGAAGCAATGTTACTACAAGGAAGATATGATCCTAAAGTCGATATATGGTCACTTGGTGCTATCTTGTATTACATGACGTATGGTAAGCAACCGAATAGGGATCCAGGAAATCGTAGTTGGGAGCCACCTTATGGGCATCGTGTGGTAGCGGATCCATTGTTACACGATGTCTTGGTGAAAACATTACAATATAAACCACATGATCGTGCGGATTTACAAACACTACAACGACATCCATATACACGCTTGCCCTAGTTCGTTTTTATTTATTGCTATAGCATTAGACTTCACAAGTAGCAACATATTGAACTATCTTAAGTTTATATCTTATTTTCATTTAATGAACTTTCAAATGTAGACAGGTTTTAATATACTAGAAGCTCATCATCATTCTAATTTAAATGCTTTAAAACATCGTTAAACCTTCAAGCAGAGTTACATAAATTTTTACCGACAAAGAACCTAAACAGTTCTCTAGATTGAATGTCTCATACCAGACGTCTTTCGCTGCAATTTGCCAAATACAGGCATGAAAGTTGTAGGTGGGAAGATAATGCGATTGAAGAGGGGTTCAACATCCACACTCTTGCATCCTAAACTTACCTATGTCCTTGAAATTGCTGAAAGTTTGTCGATTAATTGCGGTATATTGAAACGATAATTGTGAGCTTAAACGCAATAAATCGCCGATATTTTCCGATGATTCTGACGACTTTTCTGATGCATCACAATTTCATGATCGATTATCATGCTTTATTATATCGATAATTGACCTAATTTTATGCATGTGATCGCAATTCCTAGGGTTATATCGAGAAGATTGAATTACTACTTTATAGTAAAAAAAGAAAACTCCAAACATAGCCATTTTCATTAATAAACTATTGCCCAATTCAAAAAAGAGGCGGGTGGATATATTTTGAATAAGTTTTGATAGAATCTTTATATAGAGCTGTAGTTTTCATTGTTGGAAAGTGGAGATAAAGACATATCGAATGATATACGATAGGCATCTCTTAGATGTTTTCTAAAGTTTTCTTAATCAATTTTCTGAAAAAAATGCCGAAAAGTTGGTGTCTGTTAAATAACAAAAATTCAAAAAACATGATTTTTTTCACAGAAAATAAAAGAAAAAGCGGTTAAGAGTTTCGAATAAAATGCGTATAATTCTTGAACGAGCAAATATAAAACTCTGGACCTTGTGCAGTTTTGTAGATCTTCATTTAGCGGTTTGAATGCGTATCTGATTATTGAGCATTGGCTTTAGTCACCTTACGGTGAATGTTGGTTTTCAAAAATGTTGATTTGAGTCTTTAAAAAAACTAGATTAAATTATTCTGTAATACACAATTCGATGCTTCTCCATCTCCTCTTTCCAACGGTCAAAATCGCAGCGCTCTATAGTGATTCTATTAAACCTTATTCAAAAAACAGCTCATTCACCTTTTTTTTTTGAAATAAGCAATAATTGTAAATACGGTATCCAATGATGCAGATGTTTACTCTTATTTAAATATTCTTCGAAAAGTTCGATATTTTTTTCCATAGTTGTTGATTTTCAAGTTCATACGTATCTTTTGAAATAAATAGTTTAATAATAACAAACTATTTTAATTTTTAACTAATTACGTGTATTATAGCAACAATGCACATTTATAATACTTTCTTGATTGCTAAGTGATTTCTGCCGATCAGTTCTTTTGTATCTCTTGCTCTTTTCAAATCAAATTTTGTACCGATACAAGCTTGAGTTATTTTATTATTAAACATTTTGGCTAACTGTTTGGAGAGATTAGAATTACTCGCCTAGTTTTGATCGATGCATTCATGCATGAAATTTTGATGCTTTTTGCGTCAATTATATCATTATTCTAGGATTCATTAGTATTGAATTTTCATGAACAGTTTTATTGCATAGAATTTACTTTCTGTTGTACTTTTTATTTTAAACAAATAAAACTTTTTTTTTCAATATGTACGAATAGGTCAAATATAGAAAAGATGACTAGTATAGGAATATCGAAAAATAAGAAGTTTGCTCAGAAAAAAAAATCTGAGTGATGGTTTTCTTATTTGCTTCGGTTGCTGACACTTAATATTTTCTTTTTTTTTTGAATAAATCCAACTGTTCACTTGTATACTAAATAGATATTGATACATGATTTACAAATTAAATGACAATATCAATAGGTGTCAATTTAAAAGTTTTCAACGAAAAATCAAGATTATAATATATAACGTATTTGTTTGTATTAAGTTTCTTTGCAATTATATGTTGAATGATATTAATTTTCACTTAGTTTTATCTTTCAGTTTTGAACAACAAGTGATATCTAAAAAAAGAATATTTTTATTCCAAATTCTCTCGCATTAAACAATGATTACTTGTTGAAAACACTCGAAGATGTCTCAGTTAATAGAGAATTATTTGCTCTATCATTCTATAGAGTCTAAAGGAAATCATATTTACGTATTTTAAATGTTGACAAATAGGATTTTGATTTTCTAAAGCACTCATCTTTGAAGATCTGATAATCATTTTTATTTCTATATATTCCTGTTTAAATCAATTTTCTCTAATCCAAGCATCGTTTGTATTCTTTCTAGCGCTTATATCAAGAGAAAATATCGAAAATAAATCTTGTTGAATAGTTTTGGTAGTCATAATATGTTTAACATCAATGAACTTTTGAAAAATTGTTCTCATAGTAAAGTTCACTCTAACCATTCATAGCTTTACAAACATTGCAGATTTTATTTCAAAATAGAGAAATATAAAATTTATTTGAACATCTTTTTCAATTTATCGGCCCATCCTTGTGATGTAGTATCATTAGTCTGTACATTTTTTTCTTTTCTTGTTGCATCATATGTATAATCGTACTTCGGTAAAGAACCCTGTTTGATTTGATCTAGACGATCACCTTTCTTATCTTTCAATGATGGAGGCATCAAAAGACCCATGACGTTAGATAAAGCATTCATAGGATTGGCACCATCTTTAGCATTGAAAACACCAGCAGCAGCCAATAGTCTTACAAGTTCAAGTAATTTATTACGAATTTCACTATCTGCAAGCATTGCAAAATCTTAAAAAGAAAACAAAAACCGTATCGTGGTGATTAAAAATCATTTTGAACGTATAAATTTTGACTAACTTGGCTGTTTTGTTGGATTATTCAAGTCAATATAACCTTTTTTACTCATTGTCATCATTAAATCTTGTACAGCATGCATTATTTTCGGATCTTTTTTAATAGCTTGTAAAAATGCCATTGCTTTTGGATTTTTCGAAATTTCGTCCATCATCTGTTGCATATTTGGAAAATTATGATAGATTGGAGTCAATGATAGAGGACGAACAAGAGGAGACGAGGTACGAGTGAGAGAAATCAATAGAGGATTAGTCAAACGAGAAGACAAAACGGGAACGAACCGACGAGCAACGAAGGCAAACATCTTGATAAATAAATCAAAATAGAGAAGTATCAAAAATCTGTACAATGAGTTATATAGCATTAGCTTTTTTGTTATACAGTGATTGGCCTGATATATTAATCCATTCGAAAATGACGATAGATATCGCACTGTATCAGCAATTCTTATTGTATAATAACTAAACTATGGAGAGTGAAACAGCGTATTTTTCTATGTGACATGATTCTGTACTACTTGAAAGCTTTCCTATATCACTACAACCGTATATCTTAGATGTTAGACTATAGGTCTTTTAATTGTTAGTAATTAATAATACAACATACACAATCATTTTATACGAGAGAAAAAACAATTCAAATTATAGCATTTCAATGATTTATTTAAAAGAACAACAAAAAAGAAAATCATGTACGAATTAAAATCAGTTAAAAACTGGAACAGAAAAATACTCACGGCTTAGTTTTTTTTGCCAATGATGTTGTTAGATGTGAATGTCGGATGTAAACTTGAAACCGAATCGGCAAAACCAATCAGTCCCGAGTCTGATGAAGTGTAGGCGTTTAATGAGGGGAGATTTCCACTAGAGCCTGATATCGAACATCATAATCGCGTTTTGATGGAGCTGAAGTCACGAAAAGAAATTTGTTTAGAGTTGCTGTGATTATGAAGAAATTTTTGAAGTCAATGTCTGATATTGTAGTCAACGAATTGTCGGAGTTTCTCAAAGTCGCAGTCGAGTTTTCGAGTTCAAAATCTTGACTCTATAGAACTTTAACCCTCATCCTCACACCTTAATTTACTTTGATGTACTGTTCGATTTGGAGTACGCTGTTTTCCGTAGTAAAATAGTATAATGAAAAATATAATGCATTGAAAAAGACATGGTTTTTTTTTTTTTTCATTAAACTCATTGTACAAGTATTTAAGAAATTTTTATTTTTGAATCCTCTAAATGTTTCTCCATGGCAAATAAATTCAAAAAAAACCGATCTTGTTTTTAATATCTCAAAATGAGTACAAAATGTACTATATTTAATTTATTTGCTTATCGTTTGTTGATGGTTTCTTAACGTATTCTTTGTAAGTACCAAATAGACGATCAAAATCAATTAATGGTACTCCATAGTTACATTCAAAAAATGCATGATGTAAATAATGAAAGGCTGCACCACCAGCTGGATCATCATAACCATCATGTCCACCAATTGGTGCAATATCAGCATGGAATTTTGCATAGAGAAAATGAAGTGGATGACATGAAAAAAGAAGAGGAAAATAAGCACATGTATAATAAACGAAATGTTCGATTGGATGCATAGATAATCCAGACCATGGACCAGGATTACGACTTTGATGATGAAGACTATGAACATGACGATAAAGAAATGCACCAATATCACCTTGACGTAATCCATTTTGAACAGACCACCATGGATGCATAAAACGATGAACCTAAAAAAAATAATGTAGACTTACAATTAAAACAATTAATTATCTAAGTTACCCAATAGAAATGAAATTCTCTCCAAAAAGTAACACTCAAAAGAATAAATATTGAAAAAAATGGTCTAGACCAAAAATCATTATAATAAGGTAATCGACCACTAGCCCATAACCACATAAAAACACATTGTACAAAAGCTGATTGTAGCCAACCAAGTGTTGTAAATGTTATTTCTCTTAATAAATGATGTTGATTTTTTTCTTCATATGGATTGTTTGGATTAAATTTTTTTTCATGTAATGGTCCTCGAGGATATGGACTCATACGTGCATAAGTCATCCAATGCCAAAATGAATACAAAATAAATTCCCAAGCTATATTATAAAGAAAAACTCGTGATACCCATTTAATATGCCATTCATTTGCTTCAGGAAATGTTATTGGAAATATCCAAAGCCAACATAAAAGTGCAGCACTAAAGTCAAGTGCATGAGCTAAATGACACCAAATAAGATAATCAAAGGCTTTTTTTTGCCAATAAGACCATTGTTCATACGTTTTGAATAATAAAGGAGTTAAATAATTTTTTTTGCCTGTATGAAGACGATGAATTCCAACGATATTACGAATACCAAATGTCATTCTAACTTGATCTATTCCTATTGACAATGATTTATTTTTCAAAATTTCTACTACCCAACTATTCTTTTTTTTTAAATTTTTACCTCTTTTAAGTAAACTAAATGAAGAGTATGTCGTTTTGATGATTTATCATCGGGTAGTCTTTGTTTTTTTTATTTACATCTACTGTGATAAAGATAAAAATATTAATATAAGTCACCTGCATTCTTATTCTCCTCTTTTAAATACGTAAAAATACCTGTGTTATGAAGCACTATCAAAAGAAAGATGTTGAAGCTTAGTAGAGTAGAACTTTGGACTCCTTCCACAGATTTTAATAGACTAAAGATCGGCAAACCGTCTTATTACACTGTTTCGTCGCAGACAAGGCTAGGTATTTGATAGCAAGACGAGTATGAAATAGTGTGAGTTAATCTACTATTTAATCATCTCTATAATTGGCAGTGCACACTGATCTTGCTCTGAAAATCACTTAAATAATCTACGATTCAAATTTAATTCTAGATCAGCTGCATGTGTACACTATACTCTTCTGTTCATCCACCTGACGTTACCGACATTACATAAGATATTTGTTCAACTGTTCATGATGTTGTTTATTCTTCGTCAAGTACCCTTGAAGTGATCTGCAAAAAGATTCAGAATTTACTCATACATAACTAGGTCTTAGGCAAGGTGAGACAGTGAAAAAATGATTTTTCAACTTCTTTTCAGAACTCAGCGACATATTTAGATATACGATCATAGACTAAATGAAAAATTTCTTGATAATTATTTGTCTTCTCTTTGAATTTAGGTATTTATTCACTACTTGAAGTTACCTGTATACATGTTTGATTGATATTAGATTTTTATTTATATTTTCGTTGTATCTAATATAAAATAATTTGAACTATTGATTAATTTTCATGAGAATTTGTGCAAATGTTCAAAGAAAATATAGAAATATGTTAAAATAGATTTAATGTTTTATTTTATTAATTAGTTGCATTACTGAGTCGAGTAATTAATATTGGAATTCTACAACACAAAAATTAAAACATAGATTTTGAGTAAATAAATAAAACATTGATATACAATGTTTTTGAAAGAAGAGTAATACAAGTAAGAATGTAACCAACTGCACAACTCTATCAATAATATTTTGAATTAATTATTTCTTGATCGATTTAGCTTACAATTTGAAAATATAGAGGAAAACTATTATATATATATCCATTGTATCGATGTGTTAAAGAATCAAGTGCATCAATGGATACAACTATACGTAATTTACCACTAATATCAATTTGACCAGATTGTTCATTAAATCGAAATGGTTGTTTAATACCATTATATTTTATGCAATAACGATTAATAAAATAATGTTTAATTGATATATTCTTTTCAGTATATGTTCTATTTAAGACAGAAAATGATGTACGTTTATGACGATGATTATCATTGTTAATAGGTTTTATTAGAAAATTAGAAAAGTCAAACCAAATAACATAAGCTATAAGAAAAAATAAATAAACAAGTAGATTTATATAAATTATTTGCAAGATGCGAGTGCTATTCGTTGTGTGATATGAAATTGAAATCATCATATGATTTAATTGAAACAAAAAAAAAACAGCAATGATATTCGGATAATTTTCCTAGGCGCTTTTTATTTATAGATGAAAATCAAGAGTAGACATCAAATTGTAATTTAAATATAAAATGATACTTGTAAATTCTAAAAAACTCAACTACAAAAAAAACATCTATTTCATCAATCGCTAATACGATGACTTGTACACAATGAATTCATAAGTTGAACATGGTGTCAACTATATTGTAATTGTTGTTGTTTCATAGAAGAAGGGGACAGCTACTTTTGACTAATAAATTTATGATTAGTTATTTTAATTAATTATTTTAAAACGAGAGAAATTTCATTAGTTTTGTTTAGCTTAAAGATGCTATCAAAGTACATATCGATCATATATTATGAAAATAAATTAAATTTTAGAATGAATTTAAAGATACTCATACATTATCCATAAAAGCACGTGAAGGTTTTCTTCACATGTCATTTGTACTTTTTTTTTTATGTAGATCAGAATTTTTTGTTCTTTGTAGAGTGCGTGAAGAAAATAAATATTTCTATTAGAATTCAAGTTTGTGAATGATATAATACAGTTTCAAAAAACAAAAGCATCTTGTGCATTTCATTCAGCAGATATTCATTGAAGTAGATGTTTTTTTTTCTTTCTTCTAATAAAATAATAGCAAGTAATGATGAACCACATATAGAATTGAACGTTTTTATTTTATCATCATCTCCATTTCAAAACTTTTCTTCTCTTTTTATGACCTGTGGAAATCAAACTACGTCTAATTTTGCTTTGACATTTCATCATTTTCTCTTATAAGCTCTATTGCTTTGAATGAAAGCGTTGGAACAAATTTTGTTCGAAACGATATCATTACATCATATCATGATTTTGATGTTTAACTAAAATGAACAACATATCCAATTAATTACATTGTTATCATTGTTGTTACTTAACTTCTAAATCACTGAATGTCGAGGGTGTTTGCACTACTTTAGAATTTAATCACTAGAAGAAAACGTTGGATAACATTAGTAGTTTAATAAAATTGCATTATCTTAATCACATATAATTGGACCAAAAAACTATTTATCATATAACAAACTGATTCAAATGTTAATAACAAATTGGATTCTAATCAAAGCATCACAACTAATTTTTAAAAAGTCGAACAAACTTTCATGACATCTTTTGATATTTTTAGCGTTTATAAGTTGAGCTCACTCTGACGAGAGAATTTCGAGTGCTGCTTCTATGCTTTCGACCTTCTCTCTACACAAAACAACCGTACTTAAGACGTTCAGTATATTCGCAAAATCGTATCCATCAATAAAAATCTTATCAAAAACAGTGTGGAAACATTGAAGAAAAAATAAACCAATAAAAATTGACTTTCTAACCTCTTTTTTTTTATTCTTTATGAAGAGTGTGCACGTCGCTAACATCATCATTCATATCGGATCATGATCTCTCAACATTCATAGATTGTTTCTTGTTTGTCAAAACAAAATCAATCTAATGGAGCAAATGGACACAACACAAACACTTTTATTAACAAACAAACCTTGGTTTGTTTTTAATAAAAATATTTAGTTTAAATAAAAAGAAAAAAATATGTTCGATATTTTTTAGTACAATGCAAAATGAAAATCAAAGTAGTACAACGATTGATATGCTTAAAGATTGTTCACCATGTAATAATAAATTAATAAAAATCTCTGATAAACATGCAAAATTTTTAATAGAAAATTTAAATTTATTGAGAAAACAAAAAGAATTATGTGATGTTATTTTAATTATTGGACAAAGCCAAATTCCTGCACATCGAGCTGTACTTTCTGGTAAAAATATTCATTAATTATATTGAATAAATTATTTGTATTTTTGTTTTTGTGTGTGTGTTTTGTTTAGCGTGTAGTGCTTATTTCAAAGCAATGTTTACTGGTGAATTAGCTGAAAGTCGAAAAACTGAAATAATTATTCATGATATTGATGAATTTGCTATGGAATTATTAATTGAATTTTGTTATACTTCGAGAATTATTGTTGATGAAAAAAATGTTCAGATGTTATTACCAGCTGCCTGTATACTTCAAGTAATAATGAATATTTATTTTTATACGAAATATATTACAGAGAATAAGCCATGTTTCATTCTATCGTTTTAAAAATATTTATTTTACTTCGGGCTAAATTTTATTTAATTCAAGCTATTTTCACTCGTTGTTCTGATGTAATTCATATATGTACATTGTGCATACGATATAGAATTAACAAATAGATTGAGGTCAGATAAATTTAAAGCTAAAAAATGCAACAAATGTTCGTTATATTAGTTTTTTGAGTGTATTTATCAAAGTATCTTATACGGTTTGTGATATGCATAATACGTTAGAACATGTATGTAACCAAATTATAAATCTAACGGCATAACTAGATGAAAGAATTCAATATTTCTTGAAAAATTTGTTTGACTAGATTATTTTCCAAGGCGATAGACGATGATAGGGCAAAAAACGATGCTGTAAATTAACGTTTGTTAGTTAACTACGATCTTTATACTATGCTTACCGAACAGTGAAAAAACTATCTAAAATCATCGTACTTATTTTACTTGATTTCATACGAAAGTTTTATTTTTCAGTGAATTTCTTCATTCGAACATTTCTAAGTATCAAATAGCCTTTGATTCTGAACAATGTGCAACAGATTGGGTCTGATGAGCTATATATAAATTCTGAAAACAGTTCAGTTGAATAGCTTCTAGTGAGCCTGAAAATATTGAATCTGACGCGTTCTAGCGACGCCATTATGCAAAAAAAAATACAGTATCTCTGCAGTAATAAACTATTAGGTAGAGCTCTTTTTCAAATTATTCATTACTGATTAGTAGAACTTGCATGAAAGATTTTTCTTGACACATTATGACATCAAATTTTTGACATATAGAGATCAATATGAATTTTATCATGACAATTCATCTAGTTTCGACTAAAATTTTGAATGTTTATATAGAAAAACATTCTACTCTTTCGTATAGACTAGAATTAAAATTCTCATCTGAGATAAGAAAAAAAAACATAAGAAACAAATAGAAAATAATTCATTGTTTATGTATCACTAACTATTCAATAAAATAAAAATCTAGATTGAAGAAGTTCAAATAACATGCTGTGAATTTCTTCAAAAACAACTTGATCCATCAAATTGTTTGGGTATTCGAGCATTTGCTGATACACATTCATGTCAAGAACTTTTACGTATTGCTGATCGTTATGCTCAACAACATTTTACTGATGTTAAAGAAAGTGAAGAATTTTTATGTTTACCTATAAATCAATTAATTGATATTATATCAAGTGATGAATTAAATATGACAAGTGAAGAAGATGTTTTTAATGCTGTTATGCAATGGATTTCATGTGATCTTCAACAGAGAAAACAATATTTACCTAAAGTAAAATTTTTATTTAAATTAAAACAAATATAAACTATTTATTTATTTATTTATTAAGATATTAGAACATGTACGATTTCCATTAATGAATGCTAGATTTCTTGTTAATACAGTTAGTTCAGATCCATTAATTCGATCTGATCAAGCATGTCGAGATTTAGTTGATGAAGCTAAAGATTATTTATTATTACCACAAGAACGTTTGAATATGCAAGGACCACGAACACGACCAAGAAAACCTATTAAATCAGGAGAAGTTCTTTTCGCTGGTTAGTTCATTCGATTTGTTTGAATTAGTTTAAAACATAGATTAATTTATTTTGTATTGAAATAGTTGGTGGATGGTGTTCAGGTGATGCCATAGCAAGTGTTGAAATGTTTGATCCAACAACAAATGAATGGAGAGCTGTTGCACCTATGTCAAAACGACGATGTGGTGTTGGAGTTGGTGTATTAAATAATCTTTTATATGCAGTTGGTGGCCATGATGGTGTTAGTTATTTGAACAGTGTTGAAAGGTAAAATAACCAAAAGAAAATTACTTTATTTTGAATAGTGTTCTGCAATTGAATCGAGTATGTAGCATGATCTAAAGTATGAATCCAGAGTGAAAACTCGCTGAGCCATCGGTTCGAATCTCAACGCTTCAAAATATTTTTACTTCTTCAAATTGTTAGAAGTGGAAAACGATATTGCTGTACTAAAAGAATTCGTTTCTAATGAAAGTTTATTCATAGATAATGATGAGTCGTATGATGAAACCACTAAATACATGAAAAAGATAATGAATTAACAAAAAGATGAACATTATTATCTTGATGAAAAAAAGCATTCATGTATGTATGCACAATTATGACGTCTATCATCAACACTACATTCTATTACGACGTTCTCAGCAATAATAGGTGGAAAATCGTACTGTGATTGTGAAAGTATCTACTAGACATCGATTAGCTGTAGTTTGAGCATTGGATTCAATTGTGAAAGCAAATACTCATATAGGACATTAATTTGAATTTCTTATGCATTTGAGTTTATTTATAGATTTGATCCTCAAACAAATCAATGGAGTAATGATATAGCACCAACAAGTTCATGTCGAACAAGTGTTGGTGTTGCTGTACTTGATGGTTGTCTTTTTGCTGTTGGTGGACAAGATGGAATTTCATGTTTAAATCTTGTTGAAAAGTAAATTTATTTATTTAGTTTTTCATGAATACACTTTTTTTCTCTTTATAAAGATATGATCCATCAGTTCAACGATGGCTTCGTGTTGCATCAATGGGTACGAAACGATTAGGTGTAGCTGTAGCTGTTCTTGATGGATATCTTTATGCTATTGGAGGATCAGACGGACAATGTCCACTTAGTACAGGTAAACAGAATATTTTCATATTTATTTTACTCAAAAATTGTTGTCTTGTTTTGTATAGTTGAAAGATATGATCCAAAAGCCAATAAATGGTTATCAGTAGCATCAATGAATACACGACGTAAACATCTTGGTTGTGCTGTTTATAATGGATATATATGTATGTATTTTGTGAAATACAATCTCAAACATGTGTTGAAGTATAGAAGTTGAAATTTGAATCATTTCTAAAAATAAGAGACGTAGCCAGAGGAATAAATAGAATAAAACAATGTTTCTCATTTCAATCTCATGGGATAACGTTAATATCTTGTATTTTTTTTGAAGCTAATTATTTGATTTGAATTTGAATGAATAGATGCGGTGGGTGGTCGAGATGATGCAACGGAATTATCAACAGCTGAAAGATATAATCCAAAATTGAATCAATGGTCACCAGTTGTTGCAATGAATTCAAGGCGCAGTGGAGTAAGTCTTATGACACACAAAAAACAAATTGAAAAAAGTTCATCTATTTCTATTAACAGGTTGGTTTAGCTGTTGTTAATAATCATTTAATGGCTATTGGTGGATTTGATGTAAGTTCTTAAATAAAAATTATTATTTAAATTTAATATTTTGTCATTTATTGATTAGGGAGCAGCATATTTAAAAAGTGTTGAATTATATGATAGTGAATCTAATAGTTGGAAATTACATGGTGGAATGAATTATCGTCGATTAGGTGGAGGTGTTGGTGTAATTAAAGTTCAACAATATGATTCAATATTATATGGATCAAATTCTACATCTAATATTTTATCAACTTCACCAGATGATCTTAAAAATCGTTCACTTTCAACATTAGTTGATTTATGAATGACTATTCCGATATATCTCATCAATACTCTACTATATTGTTGTTCTCGGTGTACAATAGATTTTTTTTTCTTTGGGCTCTATCTTTATGTATAAATTTCTTTATTTAATGATGGTCAAATGAAATATCTATGTTAAATAAACTATCATGTCAGATGGTTGAAACGATCTTAAATCAGATGAAAAAGATTTTTTCAAACTTTAATTCTCATTTCTTTTCTGATGACAAAAATTTCATTGAAAAAAATCATAATATTCAATCTTATAAATTAATATCAACTTGATCTAAAATCTGTTTATAAACAATCATAATATTTTATAATGAGTTATTAGAGATCGAAGTTTTTAGCTATAATGAATACTGATGGAGAAGAAGTTTTTGAATTTTTGATTATATTGAACATAAAGAAAACATTCAGCCTGGTGATAGTAATAGTTTATCTAAAATTGACCAGAATGAGATACTTTCCGATATTCTAAACAATAGATAAAAATAGGAGTTAAGCATTTCTTTTCATCGCATAGAAACAGTTCAGAAGAATAGAAAAGACTTTGAGAGTATTATGGAAATTTCGAGAATAAGTTTCTAGATAACCGTTTGTTTAGCATCTGTTTTGAAAGAGAAATTCACCAATTTGAAAATATATGAGTGATAACACTATTTCAATCTCATACGAATGATGATAGTGTTTTCCTAGTTCCATTAAGACCTACTTACAGATAAAACATCAAGTCAAACATTAGAATTAATTGAATTAATTTCCTTCGTCAAATTCTCAAATTGAAATACAAAGAAATATTGTACTTAATTTTTTTATATCTAATTGAAAACAACTAAAAATTGATGAGTATAGCTTCTTCGATTAAATATACACATCAAAATTATTTGATTTTCTTGAAAAAAATGAGAAGGGAGATGAGTTTACTACTCAAATCGATCTTATTTGATGCGTCATACATTTTTTTCGACTCAGCACAATGAGAAACCATGTCAATGTGCATAACATAAAAATAGTCTTGGATTAAATATTACCTTTCTCAAATTACAAAATCTGTGAAATAAAAACAAAGCAAATGTAGGAGAAATGGAAAGAAAAAAGAGTCCAAAATTCATATTTGTCTTGTATATTATTATTCATATTAATTGAGTCATCTAAAACTACTAGAATAAAAATAATAAGTCAAATACAGTTTTATAAAATCACTAAAGCTCTTATTAAGTCTTATTTATAATTCAGAAATAACTAGTAAAGAGGTCATTTAAGAATAATTTATGCATGAACATACATCGATATAAATATATATATATATATACTATATGTGAAAATATTTGCAGTACTTTTTATAAGGCATATGTCTTAGTATAGATAAGCTATCTGATTTTAAAATCTCTTTTAAAATACATGTCGTCAAAGTCTCTATATATTTCTATTTATATTGATTGAAAACATGATAATTGAATATTTTTACAAATCACATAGTATGTTGATTATGAATTGAATCTGGTAATCATATATTAGTATAACTAAATCTTCAGTTTTTAAAACATAAATTATTTGTGGATAATTCTTCATAGTCGTTGTGAGTTTATACGAACGTTTTTCATTTATTCTTATTTTTGAAATAAAATATCTCATAAAATGTCATATATTGTCATCTAGTGTTAATTTTTACATAATTTTTTTATGAAATAAAATTTTTTGTCTATGTGTCGTCCAAATAACTTATAATAAATCTAGGCAATAGGTACAAAAATAAGCTCATTGTCGTAAAAAATTTTTATTTTTTTCGAACAGTTCACACAGATTGCTGTTATAAGACAAAAACAAGTTTGATTCTAATATAATACTTATAAATAAATCTAACAGATCATTTGATATTCAATCGCAATACAAAAAAAAATTGACATTTTAGGTATGTGTTTATGCGTTTGAAAAAACATCTGAGTAAGAAGTAATAATAATTTTGATAATCATACTATATAAGCTATAAAAACACTCAACTCTATTCTATTGATTTATATTAGGTGTTCGGAATAGAAAAAGGATCATCTTCAAATACTCATCCTATGAAATTTTTCTTGTTGTTTCAACACCTGATTTCATCAATATTATTGGTTGAAATATGACGTGTTTTGGGCTTATAATATTTTTATCCGTTTGCAATAATTTGTAGCTATATAAAAAAACAAATCTTCTATAAACAATATCAAATTTCAACTGAACTAGATCTAGTGAGAATATGTTATTTAACTATTGAAGTGTCGTGTTCATACTAAATACATATTTTCTTCAAATAATGAAAAATAATCATTTAAAGTAATTTTTGATCGAGATCAATATTCAAGTTTTCGAAGCTTCAATTTTTTGATATAACGAATCTTGATAATATTGTTCTAGAGGGATGTAATCTTTTGATCAATATTTTATTTGAATATATTAGTCAAGAAAACAAATATTTTCAAAGTAGCTATACTGAATTTGTATAAATTGGTTTAGCCTTTCTTTCTATCATAGGAATTTTTTTTTCGAGGATTATCATGTATCCTCGTTTCATCAAATTACTTTTAGTAGCTTCGGTTTGGATACCCTATGCAGTTTCTTACTATGAATGTAACCATCGATTGGTTCCATGTGGTTGTGGCTTAAAAAAAGTTGAGATGAATACGCATATTGTTAACGGTGAGGAAGCAGTTCCATATAGTTGGCCAATGATTATCTCACTTAGATATGATTGTCTTGGTAATGGAAACATTTCAACTCATTGTTGTAGTGGTACTATTCTAAGTGAATCTTATATACTTACGGCTGCTCATTGTGTTGAAAGAGTAAATGTATCCAATCTCATAGCGGGCAATGTTACTATTACTGCTAGTACTTATCGTCGATCCCAACAAGATAAAACAATTAAAAAGATTGATAAAATTTTTATTCATCCTAATTGGACAAGACTCGTAAATGCATTCAAAAATGATATTGCTATACTTCACTTAGCTGAACCAATTGATTTTACCACTAATTTATTAATTGGTCGAACATGTTTGCCACTACCACAATTGAAATCCACAAATGATATGACGAAATATCCACCATCGAATATATCTCTAGTTTTGGTAGGATGGGGCTTTCACGGAGAGTCGAATTATACAGCACGTGATGTAATACAGCAGGCGACTCTTTTATCAATTCATCATAATCATTCAACATGTGCTACATCACTCAATCATATTGAAACACAGTTTTGCGCAGAAGTCTACGAAGGTTGCAAAGGTAAATCGTTTGATTTTGTTTTTGAAAATTTTATATTATTGACCAATTCTTTTGTTACTTTTATTTAAGATGCATGCGTCGGTAAGTATATAGAAACTTTTATCTTTTTTTAAAATCTATATTTAATTTAACAGGTGATTCTGGTGGACCAATTTTTCGTTGGATTGGTGATCGTTGGGAACAAGTTGGCATTGTTTCCTACAGAATGAATAGTTGTACATTAGTCAATTGTCAAATTGTTTTTACAAGAATTGTTGCTTTCTACAAATGGATTGAAAGAGTCGTAGGTCGAATGAATAATAAAATTTCAGCAACACCTTCCACAAGAACAGCAACAGCAACCGTCAGTCGTCCAACAAATGTTTACATATGTAATAAAAATAATATGTCATGTGGATGTGGTCTTACGAATGTTGCATTGACACCTTCGAGAATTGTCGGTGGCGAAGAAGCAATTCCGTACAGTTGGTCAATGGTTGTATCACTGCGATATGATTGTCTTAATAATGGTAATTTGACAACTCATTGTTGTGGAGGAACTATTCTAAACGAGTATTATATTCTTACGGCTGCTCATTGTGTTGACAAAATAAATCAATCGTCAATATTAACACAAAATATAACTATTGCTGCTGGAATTCATAATCTAACAGAAGACAATCAAACGATTCGACGTGTCGATCGAATTTTTATTCATTCTGGTTATACAGGACCAGCACATTGGTTTAAAAATGATATTGCTATACTTCACTTAACCGAACCTCTCGATCTTGATACAAATCCACGTATTACTCGAACTTGTCGTCCACCTCGAATGAATACTCAACAAGATGCTAAAGAATATCCTTCAAACGGATCCATGTTGGCTGTCATCGGCTGGGGACTTCTGAATAGACCATTCAATTTGAAACCTCAAGTCTTACAGCAATTACATATTTATGCAATTCATCACATACATCCTACATGTGCACAATATATAAGTGATATTGACGTGCAATTTTGTGCCGGAGTATATGAAGGCAGTAGAGGTAAACAGTATTATTTTATTTTCTCGATCAAAACAAAACATTTTATCTCTTCATTTACTTTTTCTTAGGTCCATGCAATGGTATGATATGTTTAATGAGGTCCATAGTTTAATAATATTTCTTGTTGATTTTCTTATTAGGTGACTCAGGCGGACCTGTCTTGCAATGGCTAGGTGATCGTTGGGAGCAAGTTGGAATAGCCTCCTATGTAGTGAGGGGTTGTGCAGCAGTTGGTCATCCAAGTGTTTATACCAGACTTACTGCTTTTCACGATTGGATCGAATGGATCATAAATCCAAGCAATTATACAACAACTACAACAACAGTCGCCTATCGTCCACCAACCATCTACAACTGTAATAGGAATGCATCATGTGGATGTGGTCTGATAGATGTTGAATTGACATCTTCGAGAATTATCGGTGGTGACGAAGCTATTCCATATAGTTGGTCAATGATAGTATCGATTCGATATAATTGTTATCATGATGGAAATATCAATGCTCATTGCTGTGGTGGTACTATTCTAAATGAATATTATATTCTTACAGCTGCTCATTGTGTTGATCAATTCAATCAATCGTCAATTTTATCACACAATATTACTGTTGTTACAGGAATTCATAATCTAACTGAAAGCGCGCTAACAATTCGACGTGTCGATCAAATTTCCATTCATCCTGAATATGCAGGACAATCACATTTGTATAAAAATGATATTGCTATTCTTCATTTAGATGAACCACTTGATTTTTATACAGATCCATTTATTACAAGGACTTGTCGTCCACCTCGAATCAATTCATCCGAGGATATAATGAAATATCCGTCAAATGGATCTATGTTAGTTACAATCGGATGGGGTGCTGCAAATAAGCCTGCTAACATAAGACCTCAGTTGTTACAACAATTGAGTATCTATGCAATTCATCACAATGATTCAACATGTGCAAGATCTATCGGACATGTTAATGTGCAATTTTGTGGAGGATTGTATGAAGGTGGTAAAGGTAAGAATTTTTTTATAATTAATTCAGTGTCTATGTTAACTCTTTTTTTTATGCTGTTTATATTTAGGAATATGTTATGGTATGTAATTGTGTTTCAATATAGAATGAATAGATATATTGGTGGTTTTTTTAACATTTTTCATACAATAGGTGATTCAGGTGGTCCAGTTTTCCAGTGGTTAGATGATCGTTGGGAACAAGTAGGCATTTCCTCATATGTGATGAATGGATGTGCATCCATAGGCTATCAAAGTGTTTTCACAAGACTTACTGCTTTTTATGATTGGATCGAAGAAATTGTAAATCGAAGAAACATTACAACATCAACTTCAACTGAAACCCCTAATACTCTCACTACCAGCCGGACTACTAAATCTCCAGTTTTGTTTGCGTGTAATAGATCTGCCACTTGTGGTTGTGGATATAATGATGTGTTTTTAACTCCTTCACGTATTGTTGGTGGAGAAAATGCTGCCGATCATAGTTGGTCCATGGTAATATCACTTCGTTATGGCATATTTAGACAACATCGATGTGGTGGAACCATTCTTTCACCTTCGTATATTCTTACAGCAGCTCATTGCGTATGGGGATTTTCGCAAAGTACTTTGACTGTAGCAGCAGGCATAACAAATCAATCGGATTCAACTGCTCAGGTACGGAATGTCTCTAGTATATATATACATCCAAATTATACCAAATCAAATCAAAATTTTCGTAATGACATTGCTTTGTTACATGTTGACCATCCGTTTATATTTCACAACAATCCAAAATTAGCTAAAACGTGTGTGAAAAGCGTCTATCCACCAGTTTCTATTAATCAATATCCAAAGAATGGTACACATCTTGCTGTTATTGGATGGGGTATAACGAAACAAGGAAGTTCACAGCTACCAGACTATCTTCAACAAACTCAAGTTTATGTAATAGACAATCATCATCCAACATGTAACGATTCAATCAATGATATTAATATGCAATTCTGTGCCGGATTGTATGAAGGAGGAAAAGGTCAGTGAGCTAGAACTCTATGTTAAACTTATTTAGCATAGTTCTACTATTGTTCAAAATAAGTTTTTATTTTTAATGAATATTACACTTGATTTTTAAGATGTTTGTCGTAGAAAGTAAGATAATATAAAACTTTGTTGTACAGACTTAATTAAATTAGAAATTAACGAATTTCTTACAAGTTTCATTTTAGAAAGAACAATTTTCATTATTTTAATTAGTTTTGTAAAAAAAAAAGAATCAGTAAATTATAGAGAGAAAAATGATAGACAAACTAAACAATAATAGATTTTCAGAGAGTAAATTTTTTTATTTTTTTTTCTTGATATTATATGAGTATAGAATGAGAACAAAAGTGAATTCAGATCTCTATACTGTTGTACAAAGATATTACTAGATTTCATACACAAGTTACTAGACAAGTTTTCACATATGTGAAATCAGAACATAACTTTTCTGTATTGTCAATTTTGTTAAATAGCATTATTTTTTATTTCCTTTCTAGATTCCTGCCAAGGTATGTCTTCAAAAGTTATCGATTTTCCATTAAAAAATATATTTATTCGACTATGTAGGTGATTCAGGTGGACCAATTTTTCAATGGACAGAACAATATTGGGAGCAAGTAGGTGTGGTCTCTTATGGGTTTGGTTGTGCAAAACCCGGATTTCCAGGTGTTTATACTAGATTGTCATACTATTATGATTGGATGCAAACCATTCTTAATATAACCGGTGAATATATCGAGCCACAGATTGTATCGCATTTCACTACCAAAACTACAACAGTGTCAACTACTAGCACTACATGCACAACTCTAACAACAAACGGTTCAATGAGCTTTCTTTTACAATATCACAATATGCTTAGTACGTTCGTAACATTATTTGTTCTCTTAATGTTTCTTCGATAATATACAGAATATTTTTCATTTGCTTATCTTATGATAGAACATATCCAACTGTTAATCACTGATTGATTTGATATATTAATTGACCTTGTACTGCATTTCCAACCTTTGACATAGGATTCATAAAAGAAAAAAAAACGCATGACAGAATTTTGTTCTGAACAAAGATCTTATGATTATTAGAATGTTCCTTGGAGACCTTTTCTAATTAACTCACCGAACGCTATTAATCAGCAAAATATTTCATCAATCGATGATTAACAGTTGGATATATTCTCTCCATATGTTAACGGCAGATTTTTAGTTTTTCTCTAGATATCACTTTTAAAAGAACATCTATTAAAAGATGTGCATAGGAATCAATTTTATTTTTCAAGTATATACTGTTATTTCGTGTTACCAATAATAATATTTCATCATCAGAAAAATAGTGACTAAAACAAATCATCATCCTTGTAAATATGCTATGATCTGGAAATAATTATGCTCTCCTAACATCTGACTGAGAGAAAGGAAGGAAGCAAGGTAGAAGAATGATGAAAACTGAAAATTTTGATTTTGATGTAAGCTTGAATTCAAATCTTACATTGAAAAGTAAAAGTTGAATACTATAGCTTGGCAGATTATAATTATTGATTCAAACTCTTGATAGGACAAACATCGAACCATACATAATTAAATTTATCACTAGTCACTAATATATAGGAACTCATATACGTATGATTCCGGAAATAAAAATAGAATGATGGAATAATCTACTAATTACAAGTCCTACATTTCTTTTGCTTGACTGTAAACAAATCTGCTAAAATATACACAAAACAGTATATCTGTAAAATCAATCATGACAAACCTATTATCGTAATTATGTAAATTCAATTGAGTCATGTCCGATATTAAAAGGAATTACTTGACAAGTAACATTGTGTTAACAAGATTTTCAAAAATGAACGACTGAACCGTATTTTGAAATATAAAAAGTACCATTTATTTAAAATAGAATAAAATAGTAAAGATTGTACAGAATATTATAAAATGAGAATGTGAATTATACGAAGAAATCAATCCTAAATAAAGGAAATATTGATTAATGATTATCAACAATTTCATTTACCATTTTTTATTTGAATTTGACATTCCTTATCCATATCTTTTGGTAATCGATCTTGAATTAATCTTTTTATTGTTGTAATCGAACACATAATATTCTCACATCCTATATAAATAATAATAGTTGATAAGATTTTTCTATTTTATTTATTTACCAGGTAATTGAATTGGATGTGCTACTCGACCGTTCGTCATGTTGAGATATTCCAATTGAATACCATATGAGTGATTATCTTCAAAATAGAATTTCATGTTTCTTATATAATGAATTACAACTTACCTTGTCGATAAAGATCAAAAAAAAGTGCACTTGCAAGAGGAGGTTGATGAGGATAATTGATGCCCAGAAATGAGAGAATAGCCACGATTGTTGTTTCATGCTAAATAATTTATCAATAAATTTAAAAAATTTTTTTTTCTCTTATCCTATTAATACATACTCCTGAATAGACTTTAACTTTTCGTCCTTTTGTTTTATTTAATATCAAATCTTCAGTATTCTCTAATATATCACGTAATAATGGACCTATGAATAAGAATGTTTTTTAAATAAAAATAATCATTAATATTTATTTATAATAACACGAACCACCGCGTAGACGATTGATTTCAGGCATAAACATAAGATGATAAGCTGATATATCGGATATATATTTAAGTTGACGAAGAATATCTGGAGTGACCCAAGACGGTGTTATATTATAAGCATCCTAATAATAGAAAATCATTTTCTTCAATATCCCTTTAAAAAAAATAAATTTAAAATCAATAATTATTTCTATACTTCGATTAAGACGGTATCAGATATAGCCCATGCATCAAACAGATTAGATACTGATTGGTTTGCATTCTTTTCAAGATATTGAAATAAATCCTTAAAACATAATCATTTTAATTTTTTTTATATCATCAATAAAAGATAAACTCTATCTTACTTGAAATTCTTTACTAATATTTTCAATTCGTTCACTCTTGTACATTTGTTGTACTAGTGCTGAATAGTAGGCACAATCGCTCATACCTAACAACTAACAAAATCAAAAACAATTAATTTACTAGAAATATATATCATCAAAATAAATTCAACATGTTCTATTGATTTGGGTACTGTATGAACAGGAATAGGTTGCCATGGAAGATTTTCTGGCCAAGTATTAGTTGTTATGAACTGATCGATTGAAATATTAATTTTTGATGAAGGATAAAGACCTAGTGACGTTAAATAGGCAGACATTAACGTTCGATCATAATCTGAACTTCGAACAAAAATCTAAAGTGTGAAATAAAATTAAAAATATTTCAAATAAAAAAAAACACCATTACTTCAGATGCAACATAAGTCGAATTCAACAATGTTGAATAACGTTCACGAAAATATTGACCAAGAAGAATATGTTGGAATTTTCCACGTATTGTTAACGAACCAAGTCCATTGGGCCAAAACGATACATCATTTGGATCCGATGGATACAACATTGTGGGTGTTCGTTCTCCATGACGAAATAGCTAAAGTAATATATCAATGAGATTAATATATATATATATCCAATATTTCGACTTACTATATGAGTCGCAATAAGTTCACGAGCAAAGTTCGATTTACTGAATAGAATCAGAAGGACAACGACAGAAGAAAACATTTTTACTGCTTTGATAATGTCAATCGTCGTAAATGCGAGAGTCAAAAAGAAAAAGAATAATCCTTGTGCAAATATATATGTTAGCGTCCAATCTCGGATTCAGTCCAATCTCAGATTGGCCTAGGCGAATCATGGATGCTTACATTGGACTAGTCCAATATCGGATTGATGCAATTCGGTTCACTAAAATATCAATTACTCTTGAGATAGATGTTGGATTCGAATTACTTTTTGAAATTATGTTCACATAATGTCAATTTGTTTATCACAATCGTCGTTGGACAGATTTAAGTTAAAGTTTAGGAATTACGAATAAATTTCTACAGAACAACAACTTTTATGAAAAGTTGTTATTAAGTCCTTCAGTCTAAATTTGACTTCTGCCTGAACACCTGCAATATTTAAAACGGCATTGTACGAACATAATTTCAAAAAAATAATTCGAATCCAACATCTACCTCAAGAGTAATTGTTATTGTAGTGAACCGAATTGCATCAATCCGATATTGGACTAGTCCAATATAAGTATCCACGATTCGCCTAGGCCAATCCGAGATTGGACTGAATCCGACATTGGACGCTAACATATACATATAGAAGAATGCATAGAAAGCAGTAGGATGAAAGCAATTATTGGTTATGATAAAAATACTATTCACGTAATATATGCAAAAAGCTGATGTTAACTATTTTCTAGCATAGATATGTAGGATAAAATATTTTCTTTTCTCTTTCTGACAACTCTGTCGGATATGATGACAGTATGTGTATAAATAACAAGATGCTCTAAAAAAATTCATTTTAGTTTATTAAACTACCTATTTAATTGCTCGACGAGTCTGACATGAATGATTATTTTCTATATTATGAATCCGAAACAATACCATCTATTATCAAAGTCAAAAATAAGTATTATACTTAGGGTAATCCAAAAGTTCTGTTGTCGTTATCTTTTTTTCTTATAGAAGGCTTGAAAAAATTTTCTTTTTTTATGAACAGATAGAGCGTCTTTCGTTTTATGTTTCTATGCTATTTGATCATTATTCAACTAATATCATAATAATAAAATTTCAATAAGAACTGTTTTTATTGAAAACTAGCTGGTGGCATTAGATCTTAACGGGCCGGGCACTTTTGCATTTCACTTTATTATCACTTATTACGTTGTATTAAAAAAACAAAATATACCACAAGCTGCAGCGTGAAAAGCTCTACAATTTACACAAGATCACTTATTTTATAGTTGCACTTTTTGTTTTCAAAATGGACAAAACTCTGAACGTGCAAATTTCGACGCTCCGCAAACGAAATTTTGTTTTTTGGTAAAAAATGGCTTCGTTTTTTCTTATCTCATCTTTTTATTACCTAATATGTTTTATTAAAAAAACAAAATACACTACAAGATGCAGCGTCAAAAGCTCTATAACTTACAAAGAACAATTATAAAAAGATGAGATAGTAAAAGACGAAGTCGTCTTTTATCAAAAAAAATTCTTTTGCGCAGCGTCGAAATTTGCACGCTCACAGTTTTGTCCATTTTGAAAACCAAAAATAAGTGATCTTATGTCATTTATAGAGCTTTTCACGCTGCAACTTGTGGTATATTTTGCTTTTTAATACAACGTATTAAGTGATGATAAAATGAAATACAAAAGTGCCCCATTTATTATGCCACACCCGTTATGATCTAATATACCACCAGCTAGCTTTCAACAAAAACAGTTCTTATCGAAATTTTTGTTATTATGATATTAGTTGAATAATGATCAAATAGCATAGAAAAATAGAACAAAAAACGTTCTATCTGTTTATAAAAAAAGAAAATTTTTTTAAGCTTTCTATAAGAAAATAAGATAATGGCGCCAGAAGTTTTGGATAACCCTAGATATTTTTCAACCGTTATATTCTGTGAAGATCATTCTAAATTGTTGAACTTTTTCCATAGATGAAACGAATAGGTATCTCTAAAGAGTTAACAATTGAAGATTAGAATTCATCATCTATTACTTTTATTAGGAAAACTCGTGTCTGATCAAGTTCAATCGATTGCCTAGGATCTATGAAAACTAAGAAATCTATAAAATATTTCATTTAACGGCTCTTAAATTTTTCAATACAATGGATTTGAACCAAATCGATTTGAAACTTAGCTTCAAATCATACACTACACTTGTTCATCACTTTGACCACATGTCAGTTATTATTATTTGTCTAATCGTTCTCATCTTTTACTTCACATGTATTCTTGGTTACCTGACGCTTTACTCTAGGTGTACTTTTTAAAATGTTCATTTTACTTCATCATGACATTGTAAGAAATATTCTAGCGGATAAAAACGAATGAAAATACGACAAAGACTCATCATTCAACCATCAACTTCATTAGAAAAATCTGATACATAGAATGGAAACGACTAGTGTTAAAAATCAATGCCGATCAATATGATATCTGGAGCAATGATAACTATGATTACAGTTCTCTCGAAATGATTTGCAAAAACAACGAAAGCATATCGCATATAAATTAAAGAACAGCCAAATCAGGAAAATCAATAGAACTGATTATCTGTATTAATAGTTCTTAGAAAATCGATTAAAAACAATAGTAGTCTTCTTCGACTTGGTTTGGTTGACTAACAGCTGTACCTGAAAAGCTGGTCATCCTGAAAATAATTAACATGCCTCTCTTTATTTAATCGTTCTCTGTTCGAGTTAACCATAACTGTGATAAGACCTAATATAAATAGTATAATCGTTCACTTTCAATTAGTATGAATAACTAATATTTCTATATGATAACTATCACAGAAAACCACTAAACATTGTTATTAAGAAATCTGATCTTCAACTGTACATGGTACTACTCCAAATTTAGAAAGTAATTATATTTAGTTAAATTATTGTACTAATAAAAACCAACACTAATAAAAATATTTCAATTTTTTTAAACAATATTTCAAGGCCATCTCTAAATAGCTTAGAAATACATTTTATGAGCATAGTCGTCTCCGCCTCCACGTCTTCATTGAATGACTCCATATATTTCAAACAGTTTGTACCAAATTACTTTTGTTCATCTTTGATATACTCTAATTTAGTCAAAAGTCGATCTCTATTGATTTCATTTATGATCATTCTATTGATAAATTCGTGCAATGAAGTCTTAATCTACATTAATACGTATGTTTACTTTAAAATCTTAGGTGAAATAACTAGCACACTACCCTAATCGTATTTACTCAGTCTCACGTAATCAAATTTTAATCGTGTCACGAAGATTAAACTTTGCAAGCCTTTCAAAGTTAATTTACTATTATATTTAATATTAATGTTATGGTTCTGCTTTCCTTCAGCAGATATAAGTCTTTTGTCGACTATTAGAATACTTGTCCTCATATTATAGTTTCAATTATCGGCATCCTAATGGGCAAACAGATGGTGAAGTGATATTCCAATATCTTTAGAAGTTCGAATATGATATCACCACTTGCCCAGCTACTGAAAGAGTCCTGGTTACGCCTGTTCTCAATTCTTGTTTTGATTTTATTAATACCGTCAATATGAAGACTATATTTTGCTGCTTAAATTTTGTTGAGGGTGATCTTAACATACAATTTCAACGTTCACTCGTGTAATAATACAGGATTGTCACCGCAAGCGAGAGTGCTCTATAATTTTTGAGAAATTTTACATTGAGGTTCACCAATTCAAGAAAAATCTTGTGCATCTTGTATTCAGAATATTAGGAAAAATTATGTTTCTCTTTAGAAAATGTTTAACTTTTTGACGTTCCATTTAAAATCGTCGAGTTTTTATCTAACGTTCAGATGAATGCGACAACCTTGTGAAGATGTTAACATTCTTCATTTTCAAATATAGGTTTTCAACATTTCATTGATGTATGCATTCAAATCTCAGCATTGAAATAGTTCGAAGCTTTTATGCGATTCCTTTTATATTTGATTGAAATTTGCATTCTAAGTGAATTTGAGCCGCTCATTCAAAATCTTTTTTACTATTATAGGAGAATGTCAATGTATAGGATGCTCCTCCTGAGTTTCGCTGTGAAAATGAAATATAAAATGTTAAAGACATACATTATTCATAACACTTTGAAGTTTTTCCACATTATTTTATGTTTTTTCATAGATATAAAGATAATGAGCATTCATCACTCGCATATAAATGTTTATTCTTCTACAATTAATATCAAAGAATTCATAAGTCAGTTACAAAACGTTTATGAATGTATGCTTAATCAAAATCAATCCATGTTGAAGATAAAGTCTTCATTAGTAGTCAATGAAGATGTCTATCTCAAAATACATAAATAATATATAGTGTTATACTACACCAGTTATTCTAAAATATATCTGACGACTTTTTCTCTTTTGGTTATATTCATCGTAGAGATATCAATCGAGTAATGATCTTTTTTGAGTAGTTCTTATTGATCAATCATCGTTCAATATCGTATGATTATAACCAAATACAAATCAATCATTTGATGACGAAAAGAAAATTTTTTAGTAGGACAGTCCCTCTATCGGACGTTATCGAGCTGATATGGTCGTATACGACAAATTGGAGGACTGAACAAACGAAGAATGATAAAAACGGAGGATCAGAAAAACAGAAGGAATCAAATGATCAAGGGTCGAAGATGAAATAACTAATAGCAGACAGAATAAACGAAGGCACGCTATAAGAAGGATTAATTAACGGCGAATATCCCAATTTTTCGTTGTACTTTAATAGAAGATGTATTAAGTCAAAGCAAAGTGTACAATTATCGACTATACTTCCGAAGCACTTGCTGTTATATGCACTCATTCACAAAACTATTGAATCAAAATAAGACGTAACTTTAGAGACTATGGAATAGAAACAATACTTTTGAACTAAGTTTTCGGCACTCAACGTCGTTTTTATTTGAGATATCAGAGCTGCTATCGTAGATTTCCTTCTTTGTTCTCCGTGTTTCTCTGTTTCAAATGTCG